CCGCGCATGCAACCACTTAAAAATCACGCACATACTCAAACACCTGTCTGCGGAGTTATGATGTATGCGTGGTCCTGTGTGTATCAACAGTGTATCCACAGAGACCTGGCCGCCCGTAACATCCTCCTGTCAGAGAACAACATTGTGAAGATCTGTGATTTTGGGCTGGCCCGAGACATTTACAAAGACCCCGACTACGTCAGGAAAGGCAACGTATGTCACCACTTTAGCTTCCCGGGAAAGAATACACTTTTTAATTGTTATTATTTCTTTTTATCCACCCACATAAAGATTACTTTTAATGGCGAGTCTCAGCTGTGTTTTATCTGCCTGTCATATCTGTTTTAATGTTCTCTCAGGCTCGCCTCCCTTTGAAGTGGATGGCCCCAGAGAGCATCTTTGACAAAGTGTACACCAGCCAGAGTGACGTGTGGTCCTTTGGAGTTCTCCTTTGGGAAATCTTTTCACTCGGTAAGAAGTCGGAATCATAACACATGCACACGCATCTTTTATGTCATCTGTGCAGAACTCAGTCTCTTGTGATTGAAAATATCTATAAATGTCAGCCGGTGCCAAAAGCAATGAACTTTTACTAGCAGAACGAATCAGCATCCCTAGTATACAAGTACTCAGTCATTTGTCTTCCTGTTCCTAATGTGGTGGTTGATGCTGGTCTTTTCTTAGGTGCATCTCCGTATCCGGGGGTACAGATTGACGAAGAGTTTTGCAAGCGATTGAAAGAGGGCGTCAGGATGAGAGCACCGGAGACTGCCTCTCCTGAAATGTAAGCATTTAGTTTCTCTCTTTCTTTCCGCATCTTCGAGAAAAAAAATGCTTCTGCTTTCAGGAAGAAAATATTGCTCTTAATGTCTTTAACTGGGTAAACCAGTTAGAAGAATGACTTCCATTTTAATGTCATTAAGTTGATTTGCACATCTAGGGAACAATGTAGGATGGCATTTGTAGATGCATTTGAGGCTGTTATTCTTGTTAAGACTGCGCTGCCCTCTGCTGGTAGATATGGCATCATGCTGGCCTGCTGGCAGGGCGAGCCAAAAGAGAGGCCCACCTTCCCCGCCTTGGTCCAGATCCTGGGAGACCTGCTGCAGGACAACAGTCTACCTGTAAGTTCTGCTGGAGAGATAAGGTCTCCAACTTTCTTCTGTAGTTTTTCTTTCTTGGGGTCTGGATCTTGTTCTTATTTCCTTCAGGATGGGAAGGACTACATCCCCCTGAACCACTCACAGAACTCTGAAGACGATGGTTTCTCTCAAGCCTCTTCGCGCCCGCCATCTGAGGAAGAACTGAGACTCGCTTGCAACACTATGCCCACAAGGTACAAGAGAGCAATCCCCTTTTATCCACCAGACCCCATAAAACGATATGAATGATACTTTGATTTAAAAGATCACACATGAGTAGGACTTCTTATCATGAATCCCTTTTTTTCTGAGGTGTTTGCTTGAGCAGATTGTTATGGTTGGATTTATCAAACTCTCACTTTTTTTCATGAACATAATGCATCATAAATACAACATATATAAGGATTCCAATAGCTATGTAAAGATTCCAATTAACGTCCAAAAATGCTGGTAAACTGAAATTTGTGTTTCAATTATTAAAAATAGAAATGCAATATGCAGCTCAAGTTTGTTTGCGATCATTGCCTTTTCTCTGTCTTTCGGTCAGGTATTATAATTGTGTGCCCTTTGCTGGCTGTGTGTTCGTGGGGCCGTCCAAAATATGCCAGCCCAGAGTGAAGACCTTTGAAGAGTTGCCTCTTGAGATGCATCCACAGAAACCTCCTCAAGTAAGCTTCTTATCCTCTTATCAGCTATCGGAAAATGTGAACTGACTGGTGACATTTTCTGAAAGCTTTTTCAGACTTAGACATTATCACCTATGTTTATTACTAAAAATGGTCGTTCTTGGTCGAGACAGATGTAGCACCTGCGTCAACCTGTGTCTTTTTTCTCTAGGACAACCAGACGGACAGCGGGATGGTTCTGGCCTCCGAAGAATTTGAGAGAATTGAGCACAACCATGGGGGTGTTGTCTTGAAAAGGTTAAATGATATGAAAGCAAAAATCTGAATATCTGTGAAAACTGGAATCGAAGCACTAGACGTACGCAGCCAGCTGTTTAGTCACACCATCTGACATTTGGACCGCTACACACTCATTTCTCACCATGAAACAGCACAATGACTGTCGAGTTAAAGAAAAACTTTAGAAATGGATGCCTTTATGCTCCACATGTTTCAGAGTCAATACGAGAAAACATTTGCACTCTTTTGCTCGGAAACTGCAGAATAGTCACCCGCTGCTTTATGTGGAACGAAACTAGATTTGCAAAGGAAGTAAGCATCAGTGCAGTCTCGATCTATGCATGGGTAAGTGGGAGTAAACAACTGTCTGAGTCATTCAAACCTGGGTATTAGCAACATTTTGAGAGTTGCAATGTTGTAAAAAGCCAACATAAACTAAAAGTGAAAAAAGCATGTTTTTATGGAGAACTTACTCCTACAGCAAAGTGTAGGAGGAGCCTATGTGAGCAGATGCTCTGATCAAAAAGGAGTCAAAAATAAATAAACTATCCCATTCTTTAGAGGATATATTACATAATATATAATATAGTACGTATATTAAATCAGTCTGTCAGTATCTTTGGTGCCTCTGAAAGTCTTTTGCTTAATAATGTCTTCAAGCAGCTGGGCTCCATCATTTTGCACAAATATTTCGTAAGTGTACATGCTGGGGATTTGTGTATTCGGGACTGTCTTGCAATAATAAGCTCATGGTAATAAACAGGGGAGTTCAGCAATGATTATCTAGGTTATAGAGAATTGTATCAATCAAAATTCACAGAAAGTTGTTTAGCCTGAGTTGGGAGTCTGTAATTTTTTTCCTTCTTTCCTCAGTCGTATAAACAGTAGCAGCAGCACGGAGCCTCTGACAGCCTCCCACAGTTCCCCAGATCAAAGCCATGCCACAGGCAGCTCCAGGCTCCGGCCCAACTTCTTCAGCCAGCTGTCAGGTCAGACCTTCTACAACAACGAGTACGGACACCTGTCCGAGGAGGGCTTCTGTGACTTCTACTCCTCACCGAACACCACCTCCCCGGCCTCTTCGAATGTGTAATTTTACCAAAGATGCATAAAAAAGGGGTTTAACACAGACAGCTGAGGTTGAGGATGGTTTGCAGTAACATCTCAGTATTGACATGTAACTAGTCTTTTTTTTTTTTATATATTGAAGATCAGGTTTTAGATTCTCATGATTACTTTCTCCTCATCTCGAAATCCTTCTTCTCTCAGACTGTTGCCTCAACAAATGGACTGAGCTACATGTGCCTGAAGTTCCTCTAACCAGCCACTGCGTGGCAGCATTATGACAAAAACAAACCACAAGTATTTTCTAGTCACACACATATATATATTTTTATCTTTTATATGCAGAGAATTCTTTCTTTATTTGTGCAAATTATGACTCATACAAGAGGAAATAAAGAATTTTATCTCCTTCTGCTTGTTTTTTCCCCAATGATGAATATGAATTTAGAGTTGGATCTGTCGTAAAAGCTGTACTTCAGTGGAGTAAAGTGTCAATTTGTGTTTTGGCCCACAATGAGAAAGAGCCACAAGATCTGTGATTTAGTCAGTGAAGTAAACAGATATTTGTGGCATCTGTGTCATTCAGTGGAGGTGGACACACTTAGACTCACAACATTGCTAATAAGTGATGGAAGTAAACAGAGGGATGGAGGGGGAATAAAAGGAGTGACTCACGGTAAGCACCTTTATCAGAGCTGGACGCAAGCACGATGATAGCTGTAACAGCTTAACGCCCTCTTACAAGCTCACATCACAAATGACAGCCTGCAGGGTGTTGTCCCAGGCTGCCAGCTGAGGGAAATGAGAACCGGCTTGGTGCAAAGTCCACTTTGTATACACACACTCTCCTAGCTGTAAATGTCACAAAGTCAGAGACACAAAGGTGCCACTTTCAGCTTCTAAGAATAATCGTTACCATGTTGTTCAGGTAAAAAGTCATAATCTGGCCTTCATAATTTGACTTTTTATTACAAATACATTTCTTGCAGTTTAAAGAAGCTAAAAGAAATAAAAAGACACCTAAAATTTTTAAAGCCAAAACTCGTTCACAGATAACTTTCTGAGGTTTTTTTGGAAACACGAATCATACCAGAGTAACCTTTATCGTAACCTCTGAGGACAGCGCAGGGATTACAGTAATTTGAGCGTTAAAGAGAAAAGGATGGTACTCGGAGTAGAAAAACAGGTTTTAAGGTGCTTTTAACTCAGCGATAATCACTGACATAACAGGGAGTGTTGTAATGACAACAGAATAAAAGGAAGCAGAGGCCCTGATGAACAGGTTTTTCCCTTTTAAAAACAAACCTTTATTGAAACCACACCAAAATTCATTTTTGAAAAAAAATCATGTACCATGTAAATAAACAAACAAACAAACAAACAAAAAAAGAATAGAAAAACAAACAAACACAGACATTCACTATATTTTTGCCATCACTGAGACTGAGTAGAAATAAAGTGGAAACTAGAGACTGTAAAGTAAACAATGATAAATGCTGCACCGATACTGAAACAAGCAGGAGAAACTGAAAAGCTTTCAGTGGCACAAAGAGAGCTGGTGATGATCCTGTACGGTTTAACAGTAAGCCAAAAGGCACACAGGTGGAATACTGGCGATAAAAACGACAGACCACGCTACATGACACAAAATGCTATTTGTACACACTATGCTTTAGATTTCATCCCGTCCTCTGCACGTTTTATGAACCCTGACAATACTTCCTTCACACGAGGACCAAAAATCTAAATTGGTCTCCTAATTTACAACACATCTGGCTGAGATGATCCTGTTTTGATGCCATTTACTCCCTGAATTATATCATTTCCTATACCCATGATTAAAAAAATGTTCCTTTGATTTAATATATGTGGATGTCTATTATTATTCTTTCGTGTCATTCTAAATATATCAGCTGCAACGTTTAAAGAAAAAAAAAAATACAGGATGAATCCCTGGCACACTCAGTAACAAAAGATATCATCTCCTCTCCTTTCCCCTCCTGACACTGAAGATGGAGGAAGCCGACATGTGATAGTCAGCATTCTCACGTCACTGGAGCAGAAGGAGCCAGAGAGGATCTTTAATAAAACAGACGCATCCCTGCAGCCTGGTAGTTAAATCAAGTGCCCGAGACTCTTATATGGACAAGGTGATACAATCTCCTGAAGGAGGTCGTTTCGGACTGGATTTAGCTAACAGGCTAGCAACTTTGCACTTATAAATAAGATGTGAGGAGAGGGTTGGAAACAGTCATCATGACATTTTGCCAATCTGTATCTTCTTCCAGGCCTCAGAAGCAGTGAAAATACAGGAGTCGATGATCCCCGCGACTGTGAACGTCCCTCCGACGATGGCACAAATCTACAAAAAAAGAAAGAAAATGAAAAAACGATCCTGTCAGGCTTCATATTTCAGAGCTTTGATGTCTTCTTCTTAAGTCTCAATATCAGCTGGGCCTAATCCTATTTATCAAAACAATGCTCTGCGCCAACGCCACAGAATTTATAGGAATCCAACAAAAAGCCCTGCTGTAGGCTGACTCACTAGCTTGAGCCGTGACTCATGATCACATTAAAAACAGTCATCTCCTACCCATGCCTTAAGTCATGATAAACCTAAACAACACACAAGACGAATAATGGTGTAGCTCATCAGGCAGGCTGCCAACTCAAGCCTGACCGCATTATCAGTCAACAGGAAACTTTCTGATGAGGTGCTACAGGCTACGCCAAAATTCCACCGATGACAAAGGGAGTTGAGGAAGACAAAGGGAGTTCAGTGAGTTAGGAAATGGTCATTAAGTTTCATACCAACACCACGAAAGCTTCATTCAGAAGATGGTTAGACTTTGGTTAGCACAAAAACTAGAAAAAGGAGGGAACGGCTAGCCAGGCTTTGATCAGAGATCAACCCAGCAGCATTATTCTTAACCATGTTAGCAAACATTTGAATGGCTTATTTTCTATCTGTTACTGGGCAGTGAAGATATTCAATCACAAAGCTGAGATATTTAGCTAAAATGCACCAATTTTTCTCCTCATTTCCCTTCCTTAAGAACAGCTTCTTGACCGCTACCCTTACACTGAGATCAAATTTTAATTCAACTTTAGCGAATAGCAGATGAATCAACTGAAGGGCCAGATGCATCTCTCAGGTCAATTTCTTCAGAACATGCCTGACACGTCTTCTGCTGTCATCTATTTCTACAGTTTTCTCATTTTTTTTAAAGTCTCCAGCTCTTTGGGAATCACTTTGTTGTTGCGCAAATCCTATTTTATGCCACACGGCATAAAAACTGTTATCTTTGACATTTTTCATAGACTTAACTAAAGAAACTGGAATAAAGGTGCTTTTGTGATAAAAACAAAGTGCCTAAAGATACGATTTAAAATATGTTATTTGCCGAGTTGTCCGTTATGTGTAAACACAACACTAGTTCATTCACTGAGTCAGGTGCCTTTTCTATCCTTGAATGATTCATAGGTGGCATAACAAACAAACAGAAAAGGTCACGTACACGACTGAAAATGAGTGAAAAAGCAGCCAAAGTCCAGAGAAAAACTGTGAAAGACTTTCAGAAAAGCTGGAAAATTATTACTTAAGCCCTTTAAAAACAATTCAAGAATATCTGGCTCATTGAAAGCAAAATATAATGAAATAAGGTGTGGTTCAAGACTTTTGCACAGGATAGTAAAAAGTTGATCTTTGGACTTGAACTTGAAAGACCTGCAATTCAAATAAAAGCGGCTTTTGTAAACAGCTTTGGGGCCGCGGGCTTTGTGTTTACTCACTGTTGTGATGAAGCGGTAGAGGGGCTGTCTCCGCTCCGTGTACTTCACTGTGATCGGACTGAGATCGTACCTGAACCAGATCGCTGGGATAATTCTTCCCGTGTGGCTGTAAGCAACATATTCCTGTGTGTGAGGGGGAAAAAAAAAAAAAAAAGATTACAAGTGAGGAACTTAATCCCATTACGTTTATAAAATAAATCAGCACATATTCTCATCTACAGTGGTGGCAGTGGTGTTTATGAGTCACTACAGAATCAGTTTCGGAATAAGTCACTCCACAGTCATAAATGATTCAATAAAAATGAATCTCAGCTGAATATTATTCCAATGAAGCAATCTCGAGGAGGCTACAATGTAAATTGAATTATTGTTACGAGCTGACAACGTTATCAATAATGTTGACCACATTAAACACATTTAACACAACGCAGAAGAATGTCGCAGTCCAAGCTCTGATGCGAGCCTCAGCTGGACCACTATTTACGCTTTGGAAATATTTTGCTCAGGCCCTTATTGTCCCTTCTTCACAGCTGACCTGCAGTGTTATTATTCCACACTCCACTCCCAGCTGTCTTCCTACACAGTTCCAGGAAGTGTTTTTTCTTTTTTTCCTTTATGGTTTGTTGACATCTTGAGAGTTTTTCCAGTCACTAGGATTGAGCTTTCACTTTCAGATGAGTGCAATGTTAACACGAGCTATACGTGCTCCGGCCGTATGCCGACATGGACGCGCTGCCTCTATGATGAGAAAAGGTCATCAGCTAATGAGTGCAGGGATGCGGTACCTTATTGGCTACTGTGTACTGATAAGAGAACCTCTGTCTGCCTGAGAGGTCTTCATACACTGTTGGTACAATCTTCAATATGTAGTCATGTGAAGCAAGAGCTGCAAGAGACATAACATTAATTAAATAAGACAAACAAAGCATCTTCAGTATTCAAGATGAATGCTGTCTTTGTAAAACAAGTTCCCATGTAGTTCTGTCCAGTGAGTGTCTTGTGACATTACATCATCCTAAGCTACATTGCCAAAGGTATTCACTCACCTACCAACCATTGAATTCAGGTGTTCCAATCACTCCCACAGTCATAGTTGTATAAAATCAATCACCTTTAATGCTCTACAAACATATTTTAAAAATCGGTCGCTCAGTGAATTCAAGTGTGGTACCTTGATAGGATGTTGCCTTTGCAATAGGTCCAATCGTGAAACTCCCTCACTACTAAATAGTCCAGAGTCAGCTGTTAGTGGTATTATAACAAAAGCGGAAGTCATAAGCAATCAACCATGAAGCACCTTGTAAGGTCGCCAACTTTCTGCAGAGTCAATCGCTACAAACCCCCAAACTTCATGTGGACTTCAGATTAGCTCAACAGCAGTGTGTAGGGAGCTTCATAGAATGGGTTTGCATGGCAAAGAAACCACATGAAAGTCTTACATCACCAAGCTCAATGCAAAGCATTGGATGCAGTAATGTAAAGCACGTCACCACTGGACTCTAGAGCAGTGAAGACTTGTTTTCTGGAGTGACGACTCTGGCAATCTGGGGTCTTGTGCCAGGAGAACAGTACTTGTCTGACAGCACCATGCCAAGCGTAAAGTCTAATGAAGAGGGGATTATGGCTCAGGGTTGTTTTTCGGTAGTTGGGCTCAGCCCCTTAAGTTCTATTAAGAACTAAGGGCCCCTTCCTGTTCCAATAAGACTGCGTACCAGTGTGCAAAACAAGGTCCATAAAGAAATGGATGAGCAAGTTTGATGTGTGAAGAACTTGACTGGCCTGCACAGAGTCCTGAACTCAATCTAACAGAACAGGATAAATTAAGAGCGGAGACTGTGAGCCAGGCCTTCTTGTCCAACATCCGTGTCTGACCTCACAAATGTGCTTCTGGTCAAAAACTCCCATAAACACACTTCTAAACTTCGTGGAAACTTCCCAGAAGATTTAAAGCTGTAAACGGTGGGGCAGCATATAAAACCCGATGGATTAAGAATATGATGACACTCAACTTCATGTGTGTGTGAAGGCAGACAAGGGAATACTTCTGGCAATATGGTGTACATAAGCACTGTCATAAGTTGGTCATAATTATTACATTTGCTGTCTAGATACATACGATTAGATGACATCTTGTCTGCCCCTCCTAAAGCATTAAAGGCTCCTTGGACTTTCTGTACCTGTGTGACAATGAAGAGAGAAAAGATCTGTGTTCATATTGCAGATATTCTTCTCCACTTTCTCCATCTAAAAAAAAGAAATAAATAAAAAATGTGTCCCACCTGGAGCTTTTCTCCAAAGGCAAGCTTGTGGATGGTGTGGGTCATGTCAGGGCTTTGAGGCTGTGCTGTGGCACTATGTGTCGACACGTGGAAGTTTCCCGGTACCTGAACACAAATAAACACATTGAGGTGGGTTTGTGCCTAACACCACAAGCACCTGCAAGACATTTAGTTAGCTAATGAGGGAGCCTGAATGCATTTGGTTGGAAACTAAATGTTCCTTGCCTCCCAACCGCGCGTGTTTTACATATTTCCAACTACTCCCCCAAGCATGAGTGTCAATTGTTCAACTGCAGGGTTAATCACTGTAAATGCAGTGGAAAGACTGACGCACAAGATGCAGACGTGAGACAAACACAGCTTCATGGAGCCTAGATTATACGGATAGGTGTAACTAAATCCAAGAGCACCCTCAATTTAGCGTAACTCAATTTAGACCCAAGAGGTTGGTGGGGGCAATCTCCATTTTTAACTCGAGTCCAACTCAAATATACAAACTGACATTCAATCCAAGCTTGCTTGTCAGTAAAATACAAATATCAGCCCGACCCAGTCCATCACAGTGTAACTACTGGGCACAGAAAAGCAGAGTTTTGCAATTTCCTGAAGGGAAGCAGTAGTATAAGTGATTCACACAGCATGTATGGATTAGGCTTCTCGCACTCTCAGGTGAGGTCTTACTTTGTTGATGCTGAACTCTCCCTCAAAGCGACAACCATCACCCTGGTTGAGGGGAATCTTCATGGAGTTCTCTATGTGACCGACCTCGTGGCGTCCCATCTCATCTTGGATGTCCAAACCCACCACTGAAAGCAAAGAAACAAACTCAGACGAGTGCGAGGACGATCGGCCAATAAATCGTTTCGTTAAACAACAGAAAGGAATCAACAAAAAGAAGAAAAAAAAAACATTGACAGTTTTTCTGAGACTTATTTGTTTTAGTGATTACTTTAATCTCTAAGATATCCGGAAAACAATGATGAACTCAAGTGATTTTTTTAACTCTATAACAAATATTTGCCTATTTTATTGATGAGTTTCAGCAGAAATCAGCAATCTGGGAGCATCACCACCTTCTGGTTAAATATGAGCACCTGTTTGTTGTTGCTGTTTTATTTATTTTATTTTGAAAAACCAAACAAGCACTTTTTATTCAAAAAGAAAAAGAGAATATCTGATTATCACTGCACAAAGTGACCCACAGAGTAAACACACAATCAGACCATTTACGATACCCAATCACCCCCGTCTCCCCGTGTCGGTGTTTTTCCATCTAGACTTCACCCCTTTCTTTTAGGCGGCGGTGGCACACATTGGCAGTGGCCTATTTTCAGAGCCTGCCTGCATTTTATGTCACCCACGAGTGCACAGAGAGAGAGAGAGGGATGTCTGCTTGATCTGTGCTAAAAACCTCCACATGCCGTCTGTCTGACCTTTGACATTCAAGACGGGATTCTCCCCCCTCTCCATCTCTATCCAGATCTCAAAATACAGTGCATAAATATAAGTGACGTGTGTGTGTGTGTGTGTGTGTGTGTGTGTGTGTGTGTGTGTGTGTGT